TTTTTATTAATTTAAAAATAATGTTTTATAGGCGAATGAAAAACTCATTAATCATAATCTATTAAAGACAATGCCTTGCGTTGAAGCCACTCCTGTCTGTTTGACGCCAAATTCTTCAATTTATCTTTGACATTTTTCTCCATATCCATAACTCTAATACTTCTAGCTTGCTTCTGTCTTTCTTGTCAATGGTCCATGTTTTACTACCATATGAAAGCACACACCAGACAAATGTTTTAACGAATCTTTTACGTATGCCAATACTCAGATGTATATTAGTGAGAAGCTGATTCTTATGTTTGAATGCTTGCTTTGCCAATGCTATTATTCTTTTGATATCTGGTGTTGATTTGTTATTGGAAACTATGATACTTCCAAGGTAGCAGAATACTCCGACTTGTTGTATTCGTATATTGTTTATTTGTATATTAAGATTTAGATCTGAGTGCATTTTATTTATAAGAATAGTTTTGGTTTTCATGGAATTTATTTTCATTTAAAATTTTTCAAGTGCACTTTGTAAAATTTGTAGCATATTATTCATGTTCAACTCTACTAAAATAACAATGGCAGCCGTAAAGCAAATACAGTGTATATGTTGACCATTTATTTTCACTCCGTTGGTCTTGATTTTCATTTCATCTATACTCATTTCAATGAAAAGATCGAATAGTTAGGGCAACAAGGGGCACCCTTGTCTTACTCCTCTCCTTATTCTTGTATCTTTTACCGATTCATTTACATTTATTTCTGTTGTTTGGTCTTTATATAAGTTGAAGAAGAGCCATCTTTCTATCCAATCAATTCCTTTTTCTCTTAATATCTTGAATAATATTTCCAATCCACTTTAACGAAAACTTTTTCTAGATATATGAATGTTGCTATAATATTTCTATTCATTGTACTTCTTCTCTCAATGATCTGTCGCAATGCTAATATCACATCTCTTGTTCCTCGCCTTTTTCAAAAAATTTTCCACATTCCATGGAATCGCTTTTCTTTGAAACTGTTATAGTTCCTCTTTTTGACAAAATCTAGTAGTAAACTTCCACTATTATAGCTATCATTAATGATTTTAAACAATTGATACTTTGTTTTTCTTCTATACTTTTCAATAGTGCAGTCTGGATATCGTCAATTCCTGTTGCTTTTTTGTCACTCAGTTCTCCTAGAGTCGTCTCCAATTTACTTATCAGTATTTCGGGTCCTTTTCTATCTTCATTTACATCTATTTAATTTTCTATATATTTCTCTTCATTTTCGATCTCCTCTTTTCCCTGTATAAATCTCCCATATATATTATCCACCACTCTATTACCTTTTCATTTTCATACAGATTTTTGTTTGTTTCCCTTAAACTATGTTGCTGGATGTCTTGGATTTATATTGCAGTTTATTTAATTTTATTATAGGCTTTGCCTGTATCGTTACTTAGTAAATCACGTTCTATTTCTTGTATGTTTTTATTTAGCCTACATTCCTTTGCTAGACGGCATTTTGTTGTCATTTCGTTTTTTTACCTGTTTATATAAATTATAATCTCTATTCCTTAATTTAATCCTTCTTTCAATCAATTCAAGAATTTTTTATTTCAACCATGGTTTCCTGGGCTCTATTTTATTTTTAATAATAATTTTATCTGTAATTCTAATTATATCCATCTTCATATTATCCCAGTCTTTTTTCCAATATCAAGTTTATCTAAATTCCTTTTGAATCCTTTTGTTATATTTTGGTTTTTTAGTTTTCTAATGCACCATTTCATATTTTTTATTACTTTAGTTTTTTTCTTAAATTTGATGTTGCAATATGCCATCACAAGATTATGGTCATCTTTGATGTCATATCCTGAGTAGACATAGCTAGATATGATTTGATTTCTGAAGTTTTTATGAGTATGATATCTATTTGATACCAAATTCTATCTCCAGGCGTTTTCCATGTTCTCCATAGCGAGACTTCAAGGTATGTATCTGTTACTATCAGCTCCTGTTATTCACAAAACTCTAATTCCATGTCCCTATTCTAAAATCTGTTTAGTCTTTCCACATGGTTTTCGCTGGGTGACGACTTGAGTAGCCTTGGGTCTATTCCTTCCGGATCTTGGTGTCTGAATTCTATGATCAGTAGGTCTCTCTTCATTTTTATTGTACATCATTTAGCTAGTAACTCAATAAGCAAATAATTTAATTTATAAATGTACAAAAAAAAGTGTAATATCTGCATTTTTCAATAATTTGGGTAAATAATAAAAGAGCTAATATGTTTTAATATTCATAATTTAATATATAAATCATTATGTGGTAATTAAATGTATTATTAATTAATGATCCACAAAAATAATGTAAATTAAAAAAAAAAAAAAAAATTTGTAAGATACTCATTTCTAACACATTTTTAGTTTATAGGTTATAAGTACCCTGTATTTTTAGAAACTATGCGACACTTAATAATTTTATTTATTTTTAACGTTATACAAAGAATGAATTACTATTTTAAATTTACAAAACAGTTATTTTAAAACATATATAAATTCTAATTTAATGACGTTAAATTAATAAGTAGTAGTCTTTTATTTTATTCAAGGAAACAATATATTCATTTTAGTAAAGAAATAATAATTATTTTATAATACTAGATAATGATTAAATTTACATTGTATTTTACTATTGTTCTGTTGGGTTTAATTGGTACAGTATGTTTTGCTAATTATGTATTGGAAATATTTAATAATTAATAATAGATAAATTAGTATAGTTAGACACAAAAAAATATATAATACTGCTACATTAATATTATCAAAATAAAAGCCTTCACATAAAAAAACAAATTAAAAACTTAATTTGAATAACCTCATTTTTATATATTGATTTACAAATATTTTTAAATAATTTAATCATAAAATAAATTCAATTTTTTTACAGATCAATCACAAATCAATGGATGGTGCTTCAAGGAGGACTTCAATAACATAACACCAATATGTAATTAAAAATAACTTTAATATCCAGTTATTCTTTTGTTTTTTCAAACATTTTAATTATTGCATTAAAATTTACAATTTATACAATTTTGTAAAATAAGTATCATGAATAATTAGGTATATAAATTAATTTAGTCAGTTATGAGAACATTTCTTAATCAGTTCAGTTTTGTGTGAATTTGATATGGAATTATTTAGTATTGTAAGTTTTACTGAGAATACGAACTACGTAATATTGAAGTTTTAAATTTGAGTAATGATAACTGGGAATTTTTCTTATAAGTTTGAAAAAAAATTTACAAAATTTGAATTTTATATGGCATGATGATTAACACGGAACACTCTAAACTCAAACTTTAATGATATTGTAAAAATTTCAATTTTAAAGTGTCGTATAAATTTTTGTATGGTCAAAAGTTTTTTGTAAAATTAAAAAAATCAGATATAAGTAACATTTGGTAAAAATTGTTAAATATTAATTTAAAAAAACAGTTGTGTATAACTAAAACTTTGGAATATCTTTATTTATTTTTAAGTAAACATATATAATTTTGCTTATATTGACCTTTTCAAACTAAAGAAAATGACGAAAACATTATATTTTTCGGAAAAATATTTCAAAAGTATTAATAATATAATTATTTAGATTATTAATAGAGTACCATCTCAGCTTCGCATCGAAGCTAAACTAATAAATAAAATAAGCTAAATTAATTTTTTTTTTTTTTACTTTAATGACAATAATTACAATAATGAGAGTAATGTTTAAATTAAAGGTGTTTTAAATAAATTAAATAAGCTTACAATGTCATAGTAATTGTAAATGTTCTTTTTGTCGCCTAAGGATATCTATATCTGTAATATTTAATTGTCCGATACAATATAAAATAGTAAGTCAATTTTAAAGTAAAATATAATTATAAGAAAATACACGTCTGTAGTAAGAATTATTTTTGTGTTTCATCTCTTGTAATGATATTATATAAACCCTCTATTAATTTAACGTCTCTTTCCGAAGAATTGTTAACAACTTTTAGTTATTCAATATTTTATACTTCTTGGTAAGTATTGGAGTTAATCTGAGAATAATGGATATGTAGCGCGAAGGGAGTATGTGTTATTTATACACACTAGGACCAGTATCCACTCATTGTATTAAGATGCTTGTAACTCGATATGTACTAAACTTAAATTGTTACCGACCCATCAAAAATTTAAAAAAAAATAAAAACCAATAAAAGAACGATTATTTTAAAATTTAAAAATATATAAAAATGTGCATTAACGTAGTCTGAATAATGTGAAAACTGTTAACAATATGTTAAAACGAAATGATCATTGAATCATTGTAAAAATGAATAAGACTTTGTAATAAAATAAGACTTTTGTTTTAGACCTTTTCTACTCCATTTATATTTAAAACAAATGTATTTATACACATGGTAAACTCTTATAAAGGAATACTATTTTACGAAAATGTTTCTGATAATTACTATAACAGTTAAAATGAAATTAATTTTAAAATAATAACTAAACTGTATATCACTCAATCTATGTTATAATTTTGTAATTTTAATTTATAAAACACTATACGTATTATTATGGTTCATTTTAAAAAACTTACCACTTATTGTTATTTTATTCACTATTAATTTATTTAAAAGATATTTAAATTATTAATATTATTTTAAACTTATGGTAAGGCGGGATAAGATGGTAAAGTTAAGCTTCTACGATCTTTTTTGACTTCTGCAAATGAATTTAAAATCTTAAATTTGCATGAAATTTACCACTAATATAGATTATCCCTCAAATTGTTTAAATTGCCTCTCTCGACTTTTTATGAGCGAAATATGTATCAAAAGAATTTCGTAAGCAGAATATTAAGCTCAGATCGAGAACGATCCTAAAACAGTGATGACCAGCATCATTAATAATCTTTAAGAATCAAACATATTAATATATATTTTGACATTTATAATATAATATCAATTTTACCTAATAATTTCATTTTCAGGTGACCCAAATGAAGATACAATAAACAGTAATTAGAAATTTATTACTATATATATATATATATATATATATATGAGTTATATCATATAAATGATAAAATAAATAATTTAAATTAAATTATGATTTTTTATTTTACTGTTACCATACAATCGTTTCTAAATTTGTATTAAAAATTAATTATCATTTTATCGTTAATTAACATTTTTTAACTGTTAAATTTATAGACGATCCAGCAGATATATCAAATGGTAACATACGTATATTTATTTATTTAATCAAATTTATTAAAAGACTAATTTGTAGCCCTATAAAACTGTGAACTTCATACACTTGCAAACATTAATTAGCCTATAAATTTACAATAAAAACCATATCACTAACATATTTGATAAAAAATGTTTAGATGGCTAAATTTTTTTATAAATAGTTCTATTTATGGTACCTAAGGAAGTTGGAGTGTGAACGAGAAAGTTTACATCATTTTCTATTTTATAAGCCAATTTAATACATATTTTTCCGTTTAAGGAATAAAATATAAAATAAAGTAGTCATGTATATGATAATAGTGCAATTTATTAAATGTTTAATTAATAGATAATGCAGTAAATACTTCAGAAGGTAATGGAAAATATACATATATTTATTCATTTAATTGCAATAAATATAATAAATAATTTATTTTGGTACCTAAGGACGAGAAAGTTTACATCATTTTCTATTTTATAAGCCAATTTAATACATATTTTTCCGTTTAAGGAATAAAATATAAACTAAAGTAGTCATGTATATGATAATAGTGAAATTTATTAACTGTTTAATTTATAGATAATACAGTAAATAATTCAGAAGGTAATGGAAAATATGCATATATTTATTTATTTAATTACAATAAATTTGATGAATAAATTATTTTGGTGATATCAAAATTTATTTAGATAATAGTAACATATTTCATTACCGATTTCCGGTTAAAATGTCATAACTTTTATTATTTACAGTCGTAAAAAATTAACTAATGATAACAACTATTGTCAATTCAATCATCAATATCAAAGAGATATTTGGTTTAACTTTAATAATCCAAATTACCTAAATACTTTTAACATGCAGTGTTTGTATAGATTTATTATGTCATATTTGCCAACAAGAGACAAACTCAGTTACCATCTCCCCCTGTGGTCACATTGTAGGAAACTATTGCGCAAATAAATTCTCAAGAGGTGACGTAGATTGTCCTTTTTGTATTCGAAAGATTGAAAATTTTGAAAACTTATGTAGGTAACATTAATCATATGTATTTAAGTTAACTCTTTAATTTACACTATTTGGGAAAAATGATAAATGACTAATATTTAAAAATTCTATATTTTTAGTTAGTTTGACAGATCATGAATTTGAAAAACGAAGCCCGTACCGATTACGTGTCCTTACTGAAAACGAAACAAATAATTTAAAGTCTAAAATTCAGAATGGCATGACTGACGAGGAATTTATGGCACGTTTTTGGTACCTTCGACGTTGCCAAGAACCTGATAGATCTTTGCTGTTGAACATTAGATCTCATATTATAACTCTTGATGATCGTATATATATCGCGGAACTAAAAGGGAAACTATTGTCTGGCGAAATTTCAGAAATTGATGTATACAAAAATCATTTTAAACAAGAATTAAATAATATAGAATATGTTATGCTATATTTATTTTATACAGAATTCCAAAATCCTTATAAAGAATACGAATTTAAAGTACGAAATAATTACCTTGATTTTATTTATACGTAATTATTTATAGATACTAAATTAATTAAAATGTAAAACAATTTAAGAAAATTTTTTTAACTATGTAGTTAAATATTTATTGGTTTATTGCTTATCAATGTGTAATATTTCATTGATGAATAAAAAACTTATTAAACAAAAATGTAAAAGTAACAAAAAAAATATCGTCATTGTCTGTATTTATCAATAAATCGATGTAAAGCTAAAGAAGGTTTTATGTTTTTATTTATTTTTTAAGATTCTTAGTGAAGATGTTTATTGTATTATTATTTATTTGTAATTATTTTTTGTCACGAAACACAAAAATAATTAATTATTTTATATAAAATAATGTTTGGTTTGAATAGAACACTCAAAACTCTTCCAATGCACATTCCCTACAACTAAATTATGACACTTCTTTACATAATTAAAAGTTATTAAATATAATACTTACTAGACATTATCCTAATTCAGCATTGAACAAACTATGGCAATTTTTCATCCCTTTTACTTATTTATCAATTTAGATCTTCTGTGTAAGTAAATTTGATAACATAATTAAGTAATAACTAATTTTAAATATATTAAAAAACTAATTTTTAACAAATTGAATATAAGAGTAATCGGTTGGAATAGTTATTTCATAAATTTATGTTTGTTATAAATAAGATAAATTTTTTATCAATATATTTTCTAATTGTAGTTATCTGTTTTTTGTTATTTATTTAGCAAAATAATTTATTTATTTTACTAGATCGTTACTCAAAATAACTATACTTAAGAACACAACTAGCTAATAGACCATTTTTTATTTTATTGTTAAATTAGCTAATAATTAAAACTAAGGAATGCACGAGACTTAGTTAAAGTTGAGAAAGCACATTGTAACGGACAATTTTAATTTAAGTCCAAAACCCGCCATACCAATACTACTGGTAACTTTACGAAAGTAAATAAAAACCAATTATACTTAATACTTTTTTAGTTTTGAATTGAATATTTAATTAATCGAAGAAAAATCATTAATCGATAAAATATTAAAACTAACTATATATTTATAGTTTATTGGGAAGTTTATAATTTTGAAAAACGAAGTCCGTACCGACTACGTTTCTTTACTGAAAACGAGATAAACAATTTAAAGTCTAGTATTAAGAATGGCATGTCTGACGAGGAATTTATGGCACGTTTTTGGTATCATCGACGTTGCCAAGTACCACATGAACAAATGATGTGGCGCATTTATTATAGAATTATAACTAGCGATGATCGTAAATATATTGCTAAGTTAAAGAAGAAACTTTTATCCGGCAAATTTTCAGAAATAACTGTATATAAAAAACATTTTAAAGAAATAATAAAAGATGAGGAAATTGAATGTATGTATGAATATTATTATCGAACCCAACAACGTTATATAAAATACGAACTTGAAATACGAAAGAATTAACTTGAAACCTTTCATACTTAATTATTTACACATTTCAGAATTTAGTGTTCATATAAAACATTATAAAAGAAAAAATAACTCAAATATTCAACTTTATTATGTAAAATAAATCTTGACGTAATTCTAAAAGGTAACCCAAATTCTAATTGACATATTAATTGCATTAATTTTTTAATAAATAATACTTTGGACACATATTTTCTTAAAAATATGTGCATACATGTGAAAAAAATTTCGGACTTTATCTTATCTTTACGGTGAAAACAGACATCAAAGTTTATAAAAAATATACGATTTTTGTAAAAAAATTCTTTTTTATATTTTTAACTTTATAATGCTATAACTTTTTGAAAGATGTATGGATCAATATAATTTTTTTTTTTATGGATGCATGATGTCTTTAACTATCATTTGGTATAATTTTTTTATAAATCTGACTTTTTACCTGCCCACAGTGGGGGATTCAAAATGACAACTTTTTCACAAAAAATTGACTTNTGGGGGGAATTCAAAATGACAACTTTTTCAGAAAAAATTTACTTTTTCAACTTAAATTTAAATGAACTTTATTATGGAAAAAAAAATTTCGTACTTTATTCTGTCTTCAGGGTGAAATTGGCTACCGAATGCTATTTTTGTGTGAAAATTCTTGATTTTATTTTTTACATTTTTAACTTTATAATGCTATAACTTATTGAAAAGTGTATGGATCAACACAATTTTTTTATGAGAAATAATATTTTTTAATAATCCTTTTTTCATTCAGGATATTAATTAGAAAATAGAAGATCATGTTGCTTTTGGAATAATCCACCTATTTTTTAAAATTAAACACTATCTAAAGATTTGCATCGAAGCGTTTTTTATGATAGTGATTTTAATCACTGTCAGATATCATTATACTTGATCCAACTATGTCACGTCACCACTGTGCCGCGACCCCCCTGTGCTGGGTTTTTTTTTTAATAAATGCATAATGTCTATACCTATTATTTCATATATTTTTTTTATAAATTTGACCCTTTACCCTTTTGTTTTGTCAACAACTAGTGCAACCACCACGCCACACCACACCCGAAAAGTTGAATAGTAAACGTATATTATTGGCTCTGATAAAAATTTTTTGCAGATTATTTATTCATCATTAACAACAAATTATTATCTAATAAGTTCTGTGTCAAGCCCTTCAATTTTTATTCACGTTTGCCATTTTTAAAAAAAATTACAATACTAAATTATTAAAAATCAATTTCATACTATATTTAATTGCCATAATAGATATTTATACTTATAAATCATAAAACTACTAATTAGGAATAATGAATCATATAGAAGTTAATTTTGCTTTTGGATTAATCCACCAATTTCTATAAATTAAATATTATCTTTTTTGATCACTATTAGATATCATCTATAACCGGCTAGCCACGTGCTGCCTTTTTTTTTTAAATATTTTTTTTTTTTGATGTAAAGATAATTATATTTATGTTTAAATAAACTTAAAAATAGTATGAAAATATATAAAACTCCACTATGCTACTGTTTTTATATATATTTACTGAATAATGTCAATAATTCTTAATTTGCATGATAATTAAAAATAAAAAAAGATAATGGTATCCAATATAATTGATTAATATAATGTTAGTTTATAAGTTATAAATACTCAATAATTTAAGAAACTATGACGCGCTTAAAAATTTATTTTTCTTTACGATGTTCAAAGAATGAGATCATGTTTGAAATGTGCAAAAACTAGAAAACGCATTTAAGTTAAATGATGTGAAAAACAATAATAATAATAATAATAATAAATAATAATATAATACAATAAGTAGTAATCTTTTATTTACGAAACACGCTAATTTATTATCTACAAAATAAAAATTTCAATCAATAAAAAAAAATTTTTATAAGATATTCATATCCATCACCAAGTTACTTCATAAGTTATAAGTATAATTAGAAATTACGTGACACTTAAACATTTTGTTTATTCGTTATACTATTCCAAAAAACACATATCGTTTAAACATTTGCAAAAACAGTTGGTTTTACCATACATAAATTTAAGTTTGAAATAATAATCTTTCATTTTGTTCAAAGAAACACTATATTCATTTTAGTAAAGCAATAATAATTAATATTATTTAATAATATTGGAAGATGATTAAATTAGTATTGTATATTACTGGTGTCCTGTTGAGTTTAATTGGTATAGTATAGTTTTCTTAGTTAAATTTTGTTATATGCATTTAGTTTATTTTTATGTAAACAAAGTTTATTAATTATTAGCATCGAAAAAACATAATAAAAACTTAGAAAGTAAAACACGTTCACACCCAAAGAATCAACCGCTGCATCACTAACTTATGACGACCAAGAGTGCTATCCGGAAACAATAATTTGTGGCTATTAAATTAATTAATTAATTAAAATACCCATCATTCAAAATTATCTTGTTTCTTTTCAAGAAAAATAGTTGTTCCAATCATATGTAAAGCATAGATTACACACAAAAATTAAAATAAAAATGCAACGTTAATATTTATATTATTAAAGTCAATGTTATTACATTGTAAACAAAATACTTAATTTAAATAACTTATATATTATATTTATTATTATTGTTATTAGTAATAGTATTTTTAATCATATTTAACGTTCTCTCTAATACTAATGAACTCAACTAAGTGAGCTTTCCTATTTAGATTTAAAACTATTTTTAAATAATTTAATCTTAAAACAAACTCAATTTTTTACAGCGCAATCACTAGCCAATGGATGTTTCTGTTTTGCACGCAAAAGAGAAATTTATCACGAGATTGTTCCAATATGTAATTAAAAATAAATTTAACCTTTAGTTATACTTTTTTTCTAATATTTTAGCTTCGATGCGAAACTGAGAAGGTATTGGTTTTACTAAGATGTGTTTTTTTTTTTTTTTTTTTTTTTTTTTT